AATTGTTTGAAGAAATTGTTATTTATTTAATCTTTCATCAATTTTAGGCAAGGATTTGTAATTCCTCATCCTGCAACAACAACCATCAAGAATACAAAACCTCTCATTGGTATCTGACAAATATGGTATGTCCATAGTGTCTAAAAGTCATTGGTTCCACAAACCCATTAATCAATTGATTTGGTCAGTGTTTCAATTTCCAGTTTGAGTTGAAAATAGGGATAATTATAATACCCATTTCTTTCAAAATTAAAAGTTACCATTTAGAACCGATTAATTGTATTTATTTGGTGTTTAAATATCTTTTTTGAAGGGCAGCTGTATTGTGTTATTGTTTTAAAAGAAAAATTGTGTCTTTGATCAAATTTATGATTACAATACGGAGTTATTTACATTCATTCTTCCCGCCATACTTTTATTCCATATTTTTCACAAGTTTACGACCTAAAATATCCATCCCCTTTTGAAAATTACCCCGATCAGTGAGTATGAGGGTTAAAGCAATATGACTATCAGTTCAATCAAGAAAATCTATATGGATGAGTTTGTAAGTTAAAATTTCCTTTGGTGTGGTCTCTTATTGTGGTGTCATTTCCTGGTGAATCAATTTATTCTATTTAATATGTATATTGTTACGAGTGTATGAAAGTTACCTTTATTTTTATTGAACTATGATGTTTAAATGATTTAAAGAACCCTTTTTTGTTTATTGCAATTGAACTATGAGAGTATGAGGCTCGAATGATTTTTTAAAATCCGAACAAATCAGTGTTTCTGAAAACATCAAAATTGAGCATTTGTTTTTTATACATTTTCTCTAGGGAACAATTATGCATACTTCTGCCCGTAGAAGGTTGGTTCACATTCGCCCAACACTAAATAATAGAGGGTAATGTTTAAGTTATTTTTTTTACTAAAGTGAGTATGTTGTAATTTGCCTCCATATTTGTTGTATAAGTAAATAAATCTTATATTTTGGGTAGTCTTTTTATTATATTTGGACAGTGAAATTAGTCATTAATTTTACCATTTTGATTTAGTTGGCTACAAGGGTTTTAAGCTATTGTTTACTACAGTGAATATGTTGTCTTTCATGTCCATATTGATTGGCATGATGTGTGTGTAATTGATGAATATGCTATTATTTACTGAAGTGAGTAAGTTGTCTTATCCAATCATGCTTCTCTTTTCTTAATTAAGTTCTCTGCCTTGGTTGATACTTCTAATATTACTCTCAATATTTCAATAAATAAAGGTTCATGCTTTTGTAGTCAATGGTTTTCTGCAGATTACAAACTAAATAATTAAGCAAATAAATCCTTTTCTACCAATTACATATCACTGTCTTGGTTTAATAAAAGTACTTTTTTTTAATCATCTCAGTGTTCTAAGAAATAATGGTTTTTTTCCAATGGGGAGTCTTATTTTGTATCATACTAATTTTCAGCTGCAAGAAATTACTTAAAGATTTGAAGAATATCATCTATGAAATAATAGTTTTTCTTAGTGTCATACTATCATGTGTTGGAGAGTTATTTTGTGTCATACTTTGTGTCATGCCTAGAGATATATACAGTTTCTTAAATACGAAGAATGTCATCTATGAAATAATGGTTTTTCCTTAATGTCATATGTGTTGGAGAATGTTATTTTGTTTCATATACTTTGGATCATATCGAAAGATATATATGCAATTCCTTATCTTTTTCAGTTCTTTATTTTATGTCAATTTGAAGAATATAATCTATGAAATAATAGTTTTTTCTATTGGTGTCGTATGTGCTGAAGAGTGCTATTTTATGTCATACTAAGAGATGCATACAATTCCTTAAAGTTTTACTTTAATATGCAGGAATTTAATTGGCTGCTAAATAAATCAAAGAGTTGCATGCAACAATTTTATGAACAAAAATGATAATTTTAATTAGTATAACAGTTTTTACCATTTATTTGATCTGCACTTTTGTCTACATATAATATAATAAAATTCGTGTCATGCATTGATATCAAGATTTTAGTTGGCTGCTCAAATGAGTGATTTCTTAATAAAATTAGTTAAAATGTTTAATTTATATTAACAATAACATGTTCTTTATTTTTAAAAATTATAGTTGTACGTTGTCCTGATTTTGAGTGTGAGGGTTATGAGTATCCTAAAATATTTGACCTCTTCAATCGCATATTTTGCGAGATCCTTTCACCTCTCGATTGCTTCAACTCCGCTGTAAAATCTTCTTCCAATTCTTTAATCTGCCAAAACCTTTCACATCTCATACGTTTCATCTACTATTCTTTTTCTTCAATTATTATTTTTACGAAGTAGTATAATTATACTCCTCTTTGAATATATAGGGTTATTAAATGATGCTGCATACACTACTTAAGGCAAGCGGAGGAAAAGGCTGGAAATGTCAGAGGATAGTAGATAATGTTGTGCCAAGGTATCTTTATTCTTAAATTTATATGATCTGCTGTTTTATTTCAAAAATTGGACTTCGTTTTGCGGATTCGTGGAGCACATAATCAAGATATTCGATTTTTTTCTCACTCTGATCACCTGGGGAACAGATGTCTAACTATTGATTACTACCAGAGTATTATTTTAACTAAATAACTAAGGTGTTGACCATTTAGAACCAAATGAAAAGTCTTAGATCAGATGCTAAAGCATGTTCTGTGAAGACAAGATATACATATTTAATTCAAATGCTTCATTGGAAAAACAAATTGGAAATTACTAACATGGTAACTACTTTATCTTTTCAGATATAGGCTTGAGATTTATGTTAAGGATGATACCAAGTGTGCAATGTTTATTGTTATTTATGATGAAACTGAGAAGATGATTGGACATCTTGCCATCAGTGTTTACAATATTGAGGAGAAATTGGAGGTATGGTTTACCTATACATTGTTTATTAAAGTATTTATGCCAAACCTTATATACGTATATCGTATCATGTCGAAGGTTTAAACATAATCAACATTGTTGTCCGGGCGAAGAATTATAAAGGGGGATTGCCTGGCTTGATTGTGAACCTCATCGAATGTCGTAATGTGTTACAGCAATGAAGGTTTTACCAAAATCTATTTTAGATTCTCTGGATTCTCAGGTACATTATATCTTTATTTTATGCAAATTCATATACATATTTGTTGTTTCCTTCCATATGTTTGCACCCACTGTATGAGATGTGTATTGGTGTCATGTGTTATTGTATAATACCTTATGAAAACATAGAAATGTGGGTTCGCTTTGCCCAAATTCATAGCCCATTTTTTAATCACCAAGTAAAAAAGGCGTTTAGGCCCCGTTTGGTACATGGAATTCAAACTATGGAATTGGAATTGAGGACTTCAATTCCAATTCTGGTGTTTGGTAGCACAAAAATTATGTGGATTTGGAATTGATATTGCAAAAAATGAATTAGAATTGGTGAATTCAATTCTATGGAATTGAATCTCATGAAATTTCAATGCCAATTCAATTCCAATTCCATCAATTCCGTATACCAAACGGACCCTTAAGGTTTTACATGTAATTCACTTGATTAGTTTCCTCATTTTATGCTTTTGCAACTGAAATATATGGATTTATAATTTTATGATTAGAAAAGTTTACTACGGTTTGTGTTTGCTTGTGTAATATCATCTGCCCTCTTCTTGGAGTCCAAATTTTTTTTCTCTATTTAATATGCATATTAGAGAGGTGGAATGAAAAGAAAGTTGGATATTTTGCTAACAAGGTCGGTCAAAAAGTGTAATGTTGTTTGTCTAGGCAACTTCTGTTTGTAGTTTGATTATATATCTCCGTATTTGATTGCTTATAAGTTCCTTTCATTCAAAGCTGCCCAAAAATCTTGGTGTATTTATTTTCTTATTAGTGATGAAGTTTAAGGCTGTAGATCAAGTGTTGTTTGTTGCAGGCTGGTGTTGAAATTTACACTCACATTTTCTCTTTCAATGGTTGAAAGCCAAGTATAACTATTGCAGATGCGGTTAATCTCTAAAGGGTATACCTTCAAAAGAAATTACTTCGAAAAAAGGAGTATACCTTGATGTTCTGTGTTGAATCACATTGAGTTCACCAAAGGTAGAAAATAGGCCTTCAAGGTTTTTGTATACTTTCGCGTTGTTAATTTAGTATACTCACATATCGTTCTGGTTGCACCCTTTGGAATCATGATCTACAATTTAGCGGTTTTAATTCACCTGATTTACTTTCACATAAGTTATTCTCTTCTATCCATAACTAGAGTAAGTGAAGAAATTGTAGTTTGTGCCAAAGAAAAGAAAATGTTGAAAACAATTACTAACGTTTTATGTCCCGCAAATAAAATTTTAAGATACTCATTTCTTTGGCAAGTATCTATTCACGGTTAATTTTATGTTGTTTCACGAGTGAAAGCAAAATCATGATTGCAAGTATTAGTTTTAGATGAAAGCAACAAGCCAACAATTTAATTAAGGACCTATTTGATACCAGCACAATAGGTTAGCGTTTTGAAAAGCTTATGTAATGGTAGCTTTTAGTGTTAACATTTTTTGAATTGATGTACACTACTATTAAATTTTATCCAAAATGCTAATGTTGACTACATTCTTCCAAATAAAGCCTAAAAATTTGTACTCAAAGTTTTTTTTAAATATAAAGTACTATGTTCAAATAAGACATTGACATGTTTATTTCGTAATTTATATTTTGTTTAATTTGTTAATCATGTTACAATGAAGAGAAAATAAAGAGTAAAAAAATGTTCGTTCGAACCCGTGCGTGGCACGGGTCAAATGCTAGTTAATTCATAAAGAGGAGAATCAATTTTGGCGCAAGATTGGGCATATATGGCGAGCAACGATGTAATGGCAAGAATGGAAATATTTAACGGTGTACCAGCTCTAATGCACAACGTACAACTTTTATGGATGGAAAAGGTGCACAAATATAAGGGGTGCCTAACTGGGTTTCACATTTATATATATAGAGGAGATATATATGGTAAGTCTAAAATGACATCAGTCCTACTGGTGTCATTTTTTTACACCAGTTCGTTTGGGGTACCTACGGGGCTCCGTTTGTAAAAATGACGGTTCCTACCCCCCCATGACCCTCCCCCGAAACCCCCCCCCCCACCCCCCGAAACCTACTGGTGTAAGTTTGAAAATCCCCCACAATTCTGCTCTTGCTGCAATATTTTTGGGCATACTGTCAACAACTGCCGGAAACACAAACACTTGAGCCTCACCGGAAAAGCTCCGGCCGGCGAGGCGGACAACATGGGAGCGGGGCTTAAGGAGGATCTTGCAGGATGGACATGGGTAAAAGGAAATCGACATGGCAGGCCAGATTCTATTTTGGGTAGGGTTGGAGTTCATGTGGGCCAAAGAAATTCCCCTCCAAAAAGCCAAGTCCAAAAACAAGTGGACATTTCAAAAACTGGCGTCCCTTTTTCCCTTGCCCCTCCTGAATTTCACACCACTTCTGACCAACCATGTTCGTCCAAACAGGCTAATTCACAGTGGTCTCCTCTGATGCCTATCATTGAAGATGTGAATGAAGATGAAGTACTTTCCCAATCCACGCCATCTCCTAAACAGAATGCCCCACTGCCCATTACTATCCCAGATGACAGCCTGGCCTTGGTCCCCTACTCCAATGGTCCAGGGGTCCCAGCGCTTGCACCACACCTCCTCAGTAAAGATGACTACTGGGTCTGCAAACCTTCCTCTGCCTCCACGATGTGCATGGACTTTGGGAAGCTTGAGAAAGAAGATGGCTTCTTTTCTTTGTACTGCCATTCCGAAGGCAATGAAGGGGATATGCCTTTCGATGGTTCTGAGCTTCTTCCCTTACAGGTGGATATTTCCTCTTGCAGTACCACCCCCATGCCTTTCAAAACATACCTCAAACACTCCAAAGAAACTACTCCTCATGCCATGGAGACAAGGAGCAAAAGTGCTAAAAAAGTATCCTCTTTGGTTTCCAAATGCAGCTGATTTTTTGGAACGTCTGTGGGGTGCCCTCTTCCCTTGACAGACTTCTTTCCCTTAAGAGGATTCACACCCCTTCTTTCTTTTGTATTTTTGAACCAAAAATTTCAGCTTCACACATTTCTTCCTACGGACTTAAATTGGGTTACAGCAACCATCTCTCTTCGGCTAGTAACAAGAGATGGATATTTTGGGACTCTAACCTGCTTCATTTGATTAGCTTCGACGATGAAGAGCAAGCTACTCACTGCACATTCTCCATGGTAAACAAATCCAACTCCACAATTATCATCTCTTCTGTCTATGGGGCTCACACGGTGATTGAGAGAAGGCAGCTTTGGGAGAGCTTACAGGGGAGGAGCAACACTAATCAAAATTGGGTGGTGGGAGGCGACTTTAATGCTATTTCTTCCCCTTCAGAATACAAAGGTCAGTGCGAACCAAATGCACTTGGAATGGAAGAGTTCAACTCGTGCATTGAAGCTTGCAATCTGTTCTGCCCAGACCCTTCAGGTGGTCTCTTTACGTGGTCTGGCACAAGAAGCCGTGGGAGAACATGGCGTAGGTTGGATAGAGTGTTGGTTAATCTAGCTTTTCAATCATTCTTTCCTCATTTTTATACTCACCATTTACCCAAAGCTTGTAGTGACCACAAAGCTATTCTCTTCACTTGCCATTCTAGCCGTGACAGTGGCCCTTCTTCATTCCGATTCCTGAATGCCTGGATTTACCATGACCAGTTCCTCCAGGTGGTTAAGGATTGTTGGACTAAGACTCCCTACTCTGGTGGCATGCGTGGACTTGTGGCAAAACTCAAAAAACTTAAGGGATGTCTCAAGGAGTGGAACAAGAAGGAATTTGGCAATATCTTTGAAAATCTAACTAAGGCGGAGGAGTTTGCAACCCAAACCCAGTTATGCTTTGAGGAAGATCCTACCGATGCCAATCGCGAAATAGCCGAGAAGGCAAACGCCAAACTTCTTCTCGCTACTCACAAAGAGGTGGCATATTGGAAGCAAAAAGCTAATGTGAGATGGCTTGAATTTGGGGACTCAAACTCCAAGGTCTTCCATGCCTTTGCTAATGGGAAGAGAAGGAAGCTTGCCATTAATCATATTATTTCGGACACTGGTGTTGGGCTCTCCATTCAATCAGAGATCTGCTTGGAAGCTGCTTCCCACTTCTCCAAGCAGTTTCAGGCCCTTTCCCCCTCCAACCCTATCCACCCCCTCTCCCAAATCCCTAGTATCATCACAGACAGTGATAACTTGCAGCTCAGTAGGATTCCTTCCTTGGAGGAAGTTCAGCAGGCAGTTTGGGAGCTGGACAGTGGTAGCGCCTCAGGACCGGATGGCTTCAATGGTGTTTTCTTCCGTACTTATTGGGAAATTATTAAAGAGGAAATGCTCAAAGCCTCTCAAGAATTTTTCTTGGGATTTCCCATTCCACGAGCCTATGGTAGTACTCTCATTTCCCTTATCCCCTAGAAGGATAGTCCCAAACGCTTTGATGATTTCAGGCCCATCACCCTTAGCACGTTCATGAGCAAGGTTAACACCAAAATCCTCTCCAACAGGCTCAAACCCTTGCTGCCCAAGCTAATCTCCTCAAATCAAGCAGCTTTTCAACAAGGAAAAAGCATGGCTGACCACATCCTTTTAGCGCAAGAGGCAGCTCACAACTTGGACAGGAAAACTTTCGGAGGAAACATGATAATTAAGATTGATATTGCCAAAGCATTTGATACTCTACGCTGGGATTATCTTGAGGCAGTTCTGATGGAGTTTGGCTTCTCCAGACACGTCATTGGTCTTCTCGTGGCAAACCTTAAAGGCACCATTCTCTCAGTTCTTATTAACGGGCAGCCCACCGGTTACTTTCCTATGTCTAGGGGTGTCAAGCAAGGTGACCCCCTATCTCCTCTTCTTTTCATTATTGCAGGGGAAGGTCTTTCAAGAACGCTCAACAAAAGTTTGGAGGAAGACCACATCCATCCCTTTAATTTGGGTAGGATTAAGATGCCGGGCCATCTTACCTACGCGGATGATATTATGATCTTCACCAGAGGGGATACTATCAACCTTCTGAAGCTTAGGAAAATTCTTGGAGATTACTCTTTGGATTCGGGGCAGGTCATCAACTTCACAAAGAGTAGCTTCTTCGTCAAATCTTCTACCCCCGCTTCTCAATTGACAAACATGAGCAAGACCCTTGCTATGGAAGGAGGTTCTCTTCCTTTTCGTTACCTTGGTGCAACAATCTGCAAGGGTATTCTTAGGAAGCCGCAATGTGATCATCTTCTTGCACATTTTGACAAGCACCTACTCTCGTGGTATAGCAAGACTTTGAACCCAATGGGAAGGCTTATTTTAATTAAACATGTACTATCCTCGATCCCCTTACATGTTCTAGCGGTTCACACCATCCCGACGTCGATAATCAATTCTCTTCATGCCCGGATGGCCAACTTCTTTTGGGGTTCTAGGAATGGTGCAAGGCTTCATCATTGGAAAAGATGGACGTCTCTCTGCTGTCCTACTTCTTCAGGTGGTTTGGGCATTAATGACTTGCGGCAGATGCAGCTTCTTCACTCAATAAACTTATGGTGGCGGGTTAACCATGATAACGGTGTGTGGGCTTCTGTCATGAGGGGCATTTATATGAAGAAAGGAAACATTAAGGAGAAGCTGACGGACTCCCCAACGTGGAAGAGGATCTGTAGGGTTCATGAGTTGGCGCTAAACCATTACAGCAGAAGCCCGAACCTTCCTCTTTTGGACGGGAAACTCTACTCCTCTAAGACAGTACTTAGCTCTATTGGAGATGGTCTCCCTTGAAGACTCTCTTGCAAATATATTTGGCATTCAGCTCAAACCCTCAAGCTCTGAATTTTTCAATGGAAAGCATTCTTTGGCTATCTTCCCTTTCCAGAACTGGCTGCTAGGTTTTCGGCCAGTCTTCCTAGTAGGTGCCCCCTTTGCAAATCCTCTGATGATGCCTTGGATCATACCCTTGCTTCTTGTCCCCTCAGCTTGCAAGTTTGGAGTTATTTTGCAGCCCTCATAGATGCACCTAAACCGTCCTCAGAACTACGACTAAATCAAATTTTCCTCACCTGGTGGTTTAGCGCTGAGTCCTCTTCTCTTAAGGGTATTCTAAGATTAGTCCTGCCGGGAGTTATCTCGTGGCATCTTTGGAAAGCAAGAAATCAAGCCATTTATGACGGATCCACCCCGAGTAAAGATACGATCATTCAAAGATGCTTTTATCATGTACAAGCATGGAGTTGGGCCTCATGACGTAAGAGGTGGCTGGTTAAAGATAGAAGCTTCTCCGATTGGGGGCTGGATCTTTTCTGGATTAATGGTAGTAGATTGTTGCATGTAGTTTGACTTTCTTCTTGGTTTTGTACTTGGTCTTTCTTCATTAATAAAAGAACTCTTCATTATATATATATATATATATATATATATATATATATATATATATATATATATATATATATTAAATTTTTTTTATTAAGAGAGTTGAAAACACACATTCGGGGAGGACTAGACCGAAGCCCCGAAAGAAGGAAAGAAAACAAAACACACAACTACCCCATACAAGATCAATTCCAAACCTCCACGTTCATGCCCGACTTAAACCTCCCCGCTTCCAGCAGTCACTTAAGTCGATGGCTTCCAGGCCATTAGTTTTCATAATTCCCGTTCTACCTTTAAGATTTTGAGCCCAACCAAAACTAAACAGGAAAAGTGGAATTTCTTCCGGTCCTCCAATAGGTATTGAGCCCCCAACCGTTGAAGTCAGCATCATGGCACACCCATTTTTTGTTGCGGTTCACCCAGCACCATCCTTGGAGAAGTTTGAAGCATTGTTGAATAACACCCTCTATTGTGGATGCTTTATCTTCGTAGATGTATACATTCCTAGCTTTCCAAAGGCACCAAGAAATGATCCCTGGCATGATAAGCCTAACACACCCCTTGAAGCTTTTTGTGTTGCCTGAGATCCACCACAAAAGGAGGCTTTGCTTAAAGGTGAGTGGAGTTGCAATTCAAAGGTCCAGCTGCCAGATGATTGAAGTAGTCCCAAATCTTTTTGCTGAAGTAGCAGTTTAGAAGATTGTGGTCCATATTGTCCTCATGTTGTGCACAGAAAGGGCAAATACTTAGGAGCATGAGGTTAAATCGTTGGAGATTGTTGGGAAATGGTAAACAACCTGCTTGACATTTCCAAATGAAAGTCCTCAACTTTGGTATCTGGGTCTTGTTCCAAACAAATCTGGTTGAGAAGAGGCTACTGTGACCATCCACTCTAAGGGAGTAGGCCTGCTTTAGAGAAAAAAGCCCATTGTTCCAAGACATAGAGCCTGCTTCACCCTTGGCAAAAAGAGTGCAGAAATCATGGACTCTACAAATCCTTTTCCACGTGGGTGAATCTGTTAACTTTTCTCTAACACAGCCCTGCTTAAGATATTTAGCTCTCATAAAAGAAGCCCAAAGGCCTGAATCATTATGAACTCTCCACCACAGTTTTGCTCCATACGCATCCTCCAGGGTAGCCATATTTCTGATTCCTAGGCCCCCAGCTTACTTAGGAATACAGATGTGTGACCATTTAACCTAGTGGTACTTAGGCCAGCCATCCTTCTGTCCCCAGTAAAAGTTTGCCATTTGAGAGTTGAGTTTAGCATGAATCGATTTGGGTAAGGTGTGGACAGCCAAAATGTGTAAGGGGATGGAGGATAAAACATGTTTGATGAGGATCATGCGCCCCATTTGATTAAGAACTTTACTATACCATGAGGAGATGTGTTTATCAAAGTGCTCCAGGAAGTTGTTGCAATGCTCTTTCCTAAAGATGCCCCTGCAGATATATATATATATATATATATATATATATGTATGTATGTATGTATGTATGTATGTATGTATGTATGTATATATATGTATATATATATGTGTGTGTGTGTGTGTGTGTATATATATTATTTTCTAAATAAAACATGATATTTTGAAATTTCATTTAAAGCCAAATCAAATGATATTAAATTTACGATTTTATTCAATAAACTATTTTTTAATTTTAAGGTAAATATTTTTTTAAATTTTGACCATAAAAACTCAAATAAAAACATTATTTTAGGACGGAAGAAGTATTCGGTCTAAAAACATTCTCCATCCATATGAATTAAAAGCATTCAACTTTTTTCCTAAAAAACATTCAAATTTAAATTAAATGGTTGCTTAATACTTCCTTCGTCCCATAAAAAAATTAATATTTGTTTTTCGTTCCTCCAAAAAAATTCTACTTTCATTTAAAATAAATAAAACCTTTTTATGGAATGTAAAGAATACAAATTATTTAAAAAATGGGAGTACTTCCCAAAATACTAAATGGAAGGTAGTTAAGTAGCCACAATAAATTTTATGGCAATTAATGGAAAGACCGATGCAAATTTATGGAAATTTGTAAGAAAGATTTGGCCAGTGTGTTTGAAGGAAGCCCATACTATAAAAATTTGTGGCAATTACTGTAAATGAAATGCCCTTGCCCAATACCAGCCATCCAATTTACCGAATTCTTGCCACTGTTCTATTGGATTTATCAATCTTCTCTTTAATACTTTTTATATATCTGGTCTTTCTTGCTACCAATTCGAGAGATTAAAATATTCTTTAGAGTCCAAATTTTACAAACACATCATCAAATATGTCAAATTCTCAAGAATCTTGGCAATACATTTTGAATGTCCATTGGGGTGGTGAGATTGTTTTCACTGGAGTTGATATCTCATACTCTATAATGTATAAGAGAACCCTAATTGTTGATGATAGTTTGTCATGGGATCACATCAAAGACCAAATTCAAGTGTATTTCACTGAAGATGGTTATGGGCATATTACAAGGGTAGATGGAAAAGACACACATGTCGTCCACACTACTCGCATGGAGGGGATGACAAAAACATCACTCATGGATTCATCGCTCGGATGGTTGTCGCGAAGGTTCGAGTGGACCCAGAGTATAAGGTAAAACTAATTCAACATGAAATTAGTGAGATATTCAATGTTTCGATGACATACAAGAAATGTTGGCATGCTAGGCTCAATGCATCAGAGACGTTGTATGGGAGTTGGGAAAAATCGTACAAGCACTTGCATACTCTCTTGTACACTTTACAGACCTCATATCCAGGGACTATTGTTGAGTTAGTCTACATTGAGCCTCCACCAAACATCAACGATGAACCAACAAATGCAGTGACATTTAAGTATGCATTTTGGGCATTTCCCGCAGCAATCAATGGCTTACAATATTGCATGCCTGTTATCGCAGTGGATGGGACTCACTTGTATGGAAAGTACAAGGGTCATTTACTCCTGGCACTGGCGATGAATGGTAACCATGAGTTATTTCCACTTGCGTATGCCGTTGTTGATGGTGAAACAACGCATAGTTGGTTGTGGTTCCTACGCTTGGTTGCACAAAAGATTATCAGAGACAAAGAGGTTGCTTTGATTTCTGATAGACATGCTGGTATAATTAACGCTTACCACAATGTTCCAGAACTTTGAATAGGGCAAATTAAGAAGCGGTTTTGTCTCTGACATTTACGCAGCAATTTTAACACCAAGTTCCACAAGAACAAGCTAAAGGGTCTTATGTGGGCAGCTGGCAGCACTCCAAACATCCTTGAATTTCAAAAGCATATGGAAGAAATTCAGAGTTTACATGCGAGCGCACATGCTTACCATGCAAAAATTCGACCAAAATTATGGATGCTTAGTCACGATGGCGGGTACCGTTGTGAGATTCTCACGACTAATAGTTCAGAGAGTTTCAACAATATGTTAAAAGGTTGTCGAATGTTACCCGTGACTGCTTTTGTCACAATATAATGTCATACAAAAAGCTCATTGATTAGTTCGAGACACGTCGTAAGACATGTTATGCATGGAAAAGGAAAAATTGTTAATTCACTCCAAAGATTGTGAAGATCTTCCACGATCGTGAGAAACATAAACAATTATTCCGATCTGTTCATTATGGAGGCAAACAATATGTGGTGAGCAGGGCATCCAGGTCCGATCCCACCAATATCTACTGCTTCTTGGTCGACCTAGGAAGCAAAACATGCACTTGCGGATAGTGGAGCAGTGATGGTATCCCGTGCGTGCATGTTCACGCTCTATATCATTCTTTTAGGCAACGCGCTTATGATCAAATCTCAACCATGTACTCAGTTGAACAACATTCACCATGTTACGATGCACATATTCAACCTGTGTTCTTCCCGCAACATTCGGTTCATAATGTAGTTTTGGAGAGGAGTTTGTAGCCCGATGGAAGGACAGAGCGGACTTCGGCCAGGACCGTTTTTGTAACCCTAGAAGACTCCTTGAAGACCGGTCTGACATCCAGGGCTAGGAAGCCCAGTGATCCCAGTCGTTCTTCCCATTGGTCCCAACTAAGGACCTTGGGATTGAGCCTACCGGGCAACTGGTTCAAAGGGACAGGCTCCTCGGCAATTATTTCCCGGGCCTGAGAGTTAGATTGTTGGGAGGGGCGACGAATCAAAGGAGTGGGAAGGGGAGAAGAAGATTCAGAGTGGGAAGAGGAAGAGGGCTGAGAGCCCGACCCATAAGAATGACCGGACACATTTTGGCTATCAAAGGACGACATGACTCTAGCCTACCAGTCAATAATAAAAAGATGGAAGAAATGAAAGACTAGGAGGACTGAAGGACTTACTTGGAAGAGATCTAGAGAGAGAAAGCTAACCGGTTGAAGTGGAAAGATCAAAGAGGAGAAGTGAAGAAATGAGATGGGTTGGAGGGGTATTTATAGGAGAGAGAGAGAGAGGAGGGTTGGAAATCGAGGCGACAGGTGGGACGCTGAGGGGCTGACACGTGTTACATGTAATGATGAAGGGAAAAATTCAAAATTTGAATTTGGAAGGTGAAAGGTTTTGGGGGGAAACTCCAAAACTGAAAGGCCAGGCCTGACGCTTAGGCTACTACGGAGTCAAAAGGACAGCGAGGATGATTTGATGCTCAAAAAATGCCAGGTCTGAGAGGGAATCCTGGATGATTTCAAAAAGTTCCAGGTCATGAAAAGACTTGATGATTCTAATAAAGGACAAGTCAAGGGAAATGTTTGATAAGTACAAACAAAGAATAGGTCATGGGAAGAGCTGATGATTCCAAAAGTGCGAGGTCAGAGAAATAAGATGGTTTCAAGAGTGACGGGCCAGCATAAATATACTTCCCACCCTTGATGATTGCCACACAAAGCCGGTAAGTGGAGGACTTCTTGATGGGTATATCCTTATACCCGGCCCGAATAACCGAAAGGGACAGGTCAAAATATGACCGGTCACTTTCATCAATCACCAAATGAGGTTAACTCTTCGATTGGGACGGGTCAAAAGTTGACCGGCCACTTTCCTTTAAAAAGTGATCGGTCACATTTTGGGCGATAGCCAAATTGTCACCTAATGTTACGAAGGACATTCTAGAAGACCAGAGAGACAGGCTGAACTCAAAAGATGACCGGGAAACCTTTGAGGAAAGGTGACCGGTCACGTAACTTGACTTGGCTAATATTGGTCCAGTCTCTTAGGCATGGAGAGCCACGTTAAAGGTCAAGGGAACACCCCGCCACTCATCCATCACGAGGCACACAGTGAAAGGGATGTTTGTCATTTTGCAGGGTTGATTGGATTGAGAATATCCATTTCAGTCTTTGAGTGAACAGTGCTTTTTGGTTGTATTAGTAGCAAGTCTATGATTGTACAGTGCTTCCATTAACTACAATGACCTTCCCACGAGCTTCCTATTTTCACTACAAGAAAATTCCTCTTCTGCAACGGAAAAATTTCGTGGCAGAATTTAATTTTCCGTGGCAGATTTCTATTTTGGGACGGATCTGCCACGAAATTGTTCCGTCACAGAAAAGTTGTGGCAGATTCAATATCTGCGACGGACTTTAAAATCCATGGCAGATCTGCGACGGACCTGCAACGGGATTTTCATTTTTTCCATCCAGCAAAATCTGCGACGGATATAAAAAACCATCGTAGATCTGCGTCAGAATTAGCAACGGATACCTCCGTCGCAGATCAGCGACAAATATAGCCACGGTCATGTCCGTCGCAGATGACCTGTTGCCAGAACCAGAATTTTGCTGTTTTCAGCACTACCTATTAAAATGGGGTGTGTGGGGGGCAAAACACATTCAATCTTCACACATATAATTCCAAACAAAATTTCAAACACCCAAATTGATAATTCAAATCTAGATTAATGCAAACTTCAAATGCGAATGTAGCATAATTCATTATGTTCTAACAACAAATATTAAAATGTTAGTGTCAAGTGTTTAAAATGGAGGAAGCTAAGGTCGTAAATGTCTCAACAAATCCCGGGCTGCCCTACCCCTCTTGTTCCATCATCATCACCTCGTCGAGGAAGGTTACCGCCATATAGCTTCCTTATCTCCTCTTGAATCGTCAGTGACAAGTTCGAGGTTAGACTATCAATTTGTTCCTGCAACCTTTGGTTTTGCTCTTTGAGTGCTGATATCTCCGCTGTGCTTCTACTACTCGTGCTGGAACGACGAGGTTTGGAGGACGGATTCATCTTCCTCATTTCCCGCTCGTAGTCACCAACTCGAGGAATGCGGTTCTTCGCGTTATGGCCCTCAACTAACGAGTACCATATTTCTTCGTCGGTGACTTGCAGCCCATTCTGTGTAGCCTCCTCGCGCAGTTCGAAGAATTGAGCCTGAAATACATAATAGTTAATAACACACAGCAACACAGTAATCATTGCGTCAAGAACAACAATAAAACAAGAAAAACAAGACCACAAGAACTTAACAACTAACATTACCATGGATCAATAACAACGTAAAATTTACTTAGTGTTGACAGCACTACCATCAACGCAACAACAAAAATAGGTTGTCATAGGACAACAACGCCATCAATGCAACAACACAAATAGCTAGTGTCATACGATAACAACACCACCATCAACGCAACAACAATAATAAACGCGATTTACAGTAACATCAACAAGAAGAATAACGTCGACAAGAATAATATAATTCATTTACACACGCTAAGATATCGAATAAAGTATCACCCTTTAGAAGTTTTAAGACAAAAGCACCAACATTATGAACATGAACACAAACTGTTTTGCGTATAACAGAAACTACCTGTAGCTCAGCATGTTCAGGATCCACCCAAGTCTTGCCGTCGTGCTTCTTTGTCTTTGTGTAGATGATAACCTCATCCAACGACACATGCCCCCCTTTTTTCTTAGCCTTCAAGTTTCAATAAACATGTCCATTAAATTTTACATTTAATGTCCACCAAATCAAATAACAAGTGCAAAGCTATTATTTTATAAAAACATATCTTACCAATCGATTCATATTTTCAGAAAATGGAACTCAACCTCCACAATACGTCCCAAGAGCAGGACCATCCTCTTTTCCCTTCCTTCTGTTCTTCTTCTTAGTCTTACTCAACTTCAGAAACTCCGGATCCTCTTCCCAAACCTATACTTGTATATGTCATAAAAATTACTTGTACATAGCAATACGATTTTGTATGAAAACTATTACTAATTTACCTTCTTCAACTGCTCAAATGGCCTCGGGTCCATCTTCTTCTTCTTCAATCGACCTGGGTTTTTTTGATTGTACGTAAAATTTGTGAACCATTCAGCCGCTTTCTTGAGAAAAGCTTTCCTCAGCCTGCCCTCATCGATTGACGGATCCACTCTAGCATTTTTCTACATTGACATCATAGAAAAGCCAACAATTTAGATTCTATTCACATATACTAATTTTCTAGTGATCAAAAGAAGTTAAAACATAATTTTTCCAAAAAAAACCTTGAACTCTCGATAGTAGAACTCCTTCGTCGTCGTTGAGACTTTGCCCCACGACATGCCAGTTGTGTCCGTCCTCTCGTAGAATGCCGGTGTGATGAGACCAGCACCAGCGCTAGTGATTGTAACCCTACAAACATATATAAGTAGTGAACATAAAATTGTTAGGTATTTGTAAATGTTTTATGTCATACCATAATCTTCAAATATACACCGTACTTACTCGTTATCTGAATTGACGTACACGAACTGACGCTGATCACTGGGACCCTCGCCATCTCGAGCCCCACCACTGTGTCCATCGTCAACATGGTCCTCGGAGTCGTGGTCATCGCCACCTCCGTCCTCCTGATCCTCAGTACTCTCCCCTGCCCTAGATGCTATTTACACAATAACACAATAATACATGCATTAAAAAGAGTTAGTAACAAGCGTAGACATTGTTTTAGTTTCTTGATAAATGAAACATCACTCTAATGGCTTATCCATTGGAAAGTTTACTATATTAGTCTCTAAGAGGAGAGGTCCATGGATGAACAGGGGAAGGTCACAAATCCTCCTCTATAAATATGATGATATTGGATAGAGGAGAGGATCCAATTTTTCTCTCACTAAAGTTCACTCTTGAGATAGAGTAAGAAATATAATTCGGACTGAGGAGATTTACCCGGTCTAGGTCATACTTTGTGTTCTTGTTGTGTGTTTTATATTACGAGTCAAGTGTGTCCAGGTCAAACCCGGTTAACCCACCCAGCTATATTTACACCATCACCTATACATGATAAAATAAAAATAAAACAGTTGGCCATCAGGCACAACTCCAACAAAACATGCACTTGCGGATACTGGAGCAGCGATGGTATCCCGTGCGTGCATGTTCACGCTCTATATCATTCTTTTAGGCGATGCGTTTATGATCAAATCTCAACCATGTACTCAGTTGAACAACATTCAACATGTTACGATGCACATATTCAGCCTGTGTTCTTCCCGCAACATTCGGTCATAATGAAGTCAATATTTTGCCACCAGTTAGACCTGATGAAGAAATTTCTCGTCCAGGTCGTCGGCAACGTAATCGGTTTTTGGGTGAGATGGACAGGATTCCTAGAGAACGAGATTAAATTTATTGCACTTTATTTCCCCTTTTTTTAATATTCTTGTTGCCAACTATAAATCATTTTAGTTGTACTCTAAAATTTTTATGGATTTTATATGCATGCTTTCAGCAACTTAAATTACCTAGAGTATTATTATTCATTTATTTTGTTTCATAATACTTCTTTTGTTTTTTTGTTAACTTAGATTAGATTATGGAAGAAATGAAAAAAAAGGGAGGAGGTGGGTGAATTGTTAAAACATGAAATGAAAAAAAATTACTCCCTCCATCCTAAAATATTTGCAACATTTGCTTTTTCAGCAGTCGCAGGAATTTTTTTTATTTCTATGTTTTCATTGGTTATTTGATAAAATAAAATTTTTTTGACACCTCTTATTTTGAATAACTTTTCATGTAGTTTTTTGATATGTAAATTTTATTTTTTATTTCTATACCAATATGTAAATAAAATGAATTTAAAATACTTGACATTTTATCTCGGAAATACAAGTGTGGCAAATATTTAGAGACGAAGGGAGTAAAAGATAAGTACTCCCCACATGACATGATAGAAGTAAAAAAGGAAGAAAAATAATCCAACCTACATGACATTATAAGAGTAAAAAAGGAAAAAAAATCCAAATTATTGATGTGACATATTTTTCCCTATGCGGAATTAGCTCTCACTTTTATTCCTTATCATGGAATTATTTCTTTGGTAATGCTAAAGAGGCACCACGTGTGCCTCCAAACATGCCACCCAATATATTTAAATTTTATTTTTTTCAATTTTTCTTTTTTCTTAGGCTTTTCATCTCCCGCCGCCAAAATTCCCAAATCTCCCTTCTCCCGCTTCAACTTCCACAAGCTCTTGATTCTTCCCCAAAATTCCCAAATCCCCCTTCTCCCGCTTCAACCTCCACAAGCTCCAGAATTCGGACAACTCCAATTCAATGTCCTTCTTCTCCATCGAGAGCATAGCTGCGACGGCAGTGCCACTCCTCCAGCTCCAGCGCAGGTCTGCAGCAGTCCAGTCTCGAAGCCGGCATCTGCGAGGAAGTCTACGGTAGTCCAGCCCTCCAGCTCCCACGCCGGCAGCCCCACCCCTCCAGCTCCAGCAGCCCCATCCCTCCAGCTACGAGGTCTTTAATTTTTCTGAAACTCTTTGTAATGGTTTATGTGCTTTGTAATGTATTTTTTGGAGAAACTCTTTAGATTTTTTTGAAAGCTTTGTAATGGGGCTTTTATAATCATGAATTTGTACTTGTTAATGCACAATGTGTTAATGTATGTGATGACTGATTTACATTAGTTTATGACTGATTTACACAAAGACCTCACAGAAAATAACTGTCTATTTTACACAGAGAATAATCTCTAGATCTGATGCCAAAAAAGGACGATTAAAAGTCAATGTAGTGAAAGGCCAAGCTCCAGACCTCCCAAGGTGAGGTCGTAAACACCATCTTCGTCTTGCACGGGCCAAGCATGCTACCGTTGTGATGCAAAGATCTCAGACGCATCCATTTTCTTCCTCTTATTAGGTAGGTTATCATTTTTTCTACCTTCTTTTGGTTTTGGGTTTTTCTCTGTAGTCCTTTTTCTTGTTTTCTTTTGACAAATCTTTTCCTTGTTGGACTTGAGACGACTCTTTCGTGGAGCTCCTTTGCGTGTGCCGATTCCTGCCTTGTCATTGACCTCAAGTTGCTTTTTAACACTGGCTGGAAAACTACGATTACGATGATATATTCTAGATTTCGTAGGACTCAAGTCATGGTCTTGCCCTTCGTCATCTGTGTTCTGTCCGATCTCACCACTCGCCTGTTCTTGCCCTTCGTCGTTAAATAAATATTGAAAGCAAGAATCGTTAAGAAACAAATCTGGTTCAAAAGCTGCAAAAAAACAGCACCTTTAATATAATACAATGCCTGACTATGAAGAAAACAAAAATACACCAAATGCAGAGTGCATACAGATTATTAGCATCTGTGACAAGGACAAACCCTAGATTCACATAACTTTAATCTCTGTAACACCAAAACAAAACAGTATTTTTTCACTACTTCAAATGAATATAGAATGGGGTCTAAATATCAACACTTACAACTGGGCTGCAAGTCATATAAAACCAGGTCTTCTTCTTCACCACCAAAATCATGTGGTTGATCATTCTCAACATGTGTAACAATACATGTTTGTAAGTCCATAATCACCAAATACCCTATGTACTCCACAAAAATTCAAAAAAT